GATGAACTGAATGAAAATTTTATTTTATTTTATATATACATATATAGTTTGTTTTTTGAGATGGAGTTTTGCTCTTTTTGCTCAGGCTGGAGTGCAGTGGCATGATCTCAGCTCACCACAATCTCCACCTCCTGGGTTCAAGCGATTCTCCTGCCTCAGCCTCCAGAGTCGCTAGGATCACAGGCCTGTGCCAATATGCCTGGCTAATTTAATATTTTTAGTAGAGATGGGGATTCTTCATGATGGACAGGCCAGTCGCAAACTCCTGACCTCAGGTGATTTGCCTGCCTCAGCCTCCCAAAGTGCTGGGATTACAGGCCTCAGCCACCACACCCAACCTTTGTATATAATTTTGAGACAGAGTCTTGCTCTGTCACTCTGGCTAGAGTGCAGTGGCACAATCTTGGCTCATTATACCATCAACTTCCCATTGTACCCTCAAGTGACTCTCCCATCTCCTCAGTGAAAAACTGATTCTACAACTGGGACTACAGGTGCATGCTACTGCACATGACTAATTTTTGTATTTGTTTGTAAAGATGGGGTTTTGCCATTGTTGCCTAGGCTGGTCTTGAACTCCTGGGCTCATACAATTCTAAAATACTAAAAAGAAAATTCTCAAAGACTTGTGGAATAACAACAAAAGGTCTAACGTTTTTGTCAATGGAGTTTTGGGATACAGAAAGAGTGAAATGCAAAAAAAATTTTGAAGAAATAATGGCTGAAAACGTCCCATGCTTGCCAAAAGACAAACCCACATATTCATGAAGCTGAGTAAACAACAAACAGGATAAATCCAAATAAATCCATGCCCAGACATCATAATCAAATTGATGAAAATTAAAGAACAAGAAAAATCTTAAAAGCAGCCAGAGAAAGTGATACCTTACTGATACGGAATGAATGATTCAAGTGACTGGATTTTTCATCAGAAACCATGAAGGGCCAGAAGAAACAGGCATAACATTTTTAAAGTGCTAAAACAACTGTCAACCTGGAGTTCTATATACAAGAATATCCTTTAGGAATGAAGGTGAAATAAAAACATTCTTAGATGAAGGCAAACTAACAGAATTCATAGCCAGAAGACCTGCTTTAAGAAAATTACTAAAGGAAAGTTCATTATGAAGATAAAAGGGAAATGACATAAGAAGGAAACTTAGAACATTGGGAATGCCTAGCAACAGAAATGGTGAAAATCTGGATTAATGTAAGGCTATCCCCCTTGAGTTTTCCTTTTTCTTTTTTTTTTTTTGAGACAAGGTCTCACTCTGTCACCTAAGCTTGAGTGCAGTGATGCAATCAACGCTTGGCTCACTGCAGCATCGACTTCTGAGGCTTGGGTGATCTTTCCACCTAAGCCTCCTGGTAGATGAGACTACAGGTATGTGCCACCATACCTAGCTAATTTTTATTTTTTATAGAGATGGGGTTTTGCCATGTTGCCCAGACTGGTCTTGATCTTCTGGACTCCAGGCAGATGCCTGCCTCTTGAGTTTTTAAAAATGTGTCTGACAAAGAAAAGACATACTACACTGATGGGATTTTTCAATGTATATAGATGTAATATGACAGATACTGCACAAAGAGGGGGAAAAAAGGGGGATCTATATTGTGGCAATGTCTCTATGATCCAACTGGAGTGTTAAAAAACTGATTCTAAATATTTATTTTGTAACCCCTAGAGCAACCACTAAAAAACTATACAAAGACATAAGGTAAAAATCATAATAGATAAATTAAAATGAAATACTAGAAAATGTTCTAATAACCCAAAAGAAGGCAATAAAAAGAAAACAGAATGAAAAAGAGAGAAAAGCAGAAGACCAAAAAGAATGGTAAACCTAGGCCGGGCACGGTGGCTCACGCCTATAATCCCAGCATTTTGGGAGGCCGAGGTGGGTGGATCACAAGGTCAAGAGATCGAGACCATCCTGGTCAACATGGTGAAACCCCGTCTCTACTAAAAATACAAAAATTAGCTGGGCATGGTGGCGCGCGCCTGTAGTCCTAGCTACTCAGGAGTCTGAGGCAGGAGAATTGCTTGAACCCAGAAGGTGGAGGTTGTGGTGAGCCACGATCATGCCACTGCACTTCAGTCTGGGTAACAACAGCGAAACTCCATCTCAAAAAAAAAAAAGGTAAACCTAATTCTAACCGTGTCAGTAATTGCATTGAATGCAAATGATCTAAACATACCAATTAAAAGACATATTGGCAGAGTGGATAAAGAAACATGACCCAAATATATGCTATCTATTAGAAAACTTACTTCAAATATAATTCAATAGGAAGATTGAAAATAAAAAGATGAGGCCAGTTGCAATGGCTCATGCCTGTAATCTTAGCACTTTGGGAGGCTGAGGCTGGCGGATCACCTGAGGACAGGAGTTCAAGACCCAGCCCAGCCAACATGGTGAAACCCTGTCTCTACTAAAAATACAAAAATTAGCCAGGCATGGTGGTGGGCAACCTATAATCCCAGCTACTCGGGAGGCTGAGGCAGGAGAATTGCTTGAATTTAGGAGGTGGAGGTTGCAGTGAGCCAAGACTGCACCACTGCACTCTAGCCTGGGGAGCAGAGCGAGATTCCATCTCCAAAAAAAAAGGAAAAAGAAAAAGATGGAAAAACACACACCATGCAAATAATGAAAAGGAAGCTGGTAGCTATATTAATATCAGAAAATTATTTCCTTATTTTTTTGAGACAAGGTCTTGTTCTGTCACCCAGGCTGGAGAGTAGTGGCATGATCTTGGCTCACTGCAGACTAAACCTCCTGGGCTCAAGCAATCCTCCCACCTCAGCCTCCCAAGTAACTGGGACTATACATATGTGCCACTATGCCCAGCTAATTTTTTTCTTTTTGGAGAGATGAGGTCTCACTATGTTGCCCAGGCTGGTCTTAGATTCCTGGGCTCAAGCAATCCTCCCACCTCAGCCTCCCAGAGTTGGGATTACAAGTGTGAACCACCGTGCTCGGCCTAGACAAATATTTCAAAGTAAAGAAATTTACCAGGGATGAAGAGAGACTTGTTTTGTTTTGTTTCGAGACAGAGTTTTGCTCTTGCTGCCCAGGCTGGAGTGCAATGATTGCACAATCTCAGCTCAGTGCAACCTCCACCTCCAAGGTTCAAGTGATTCTCCTACCTTAGTCTCTCGAGTAGCTGGGATTACAGGTGCCTGTCGCCATGCCTGGCTAATTTTTGTATTTTTGGTAGGGATGGGGTTTCACCATGTTAGCCAGGCTGGTCTTGAACTCCTGACCACAGGTGATCTGCCTGCTTCGGCCTCCCAAAGTGCTAGGATTACAGGTGTGAGCCATCCTGCCCAGTGAGAGACCTTGACAAAAGGGTCAATTCACCAAGAAGATATTCAATGTGTATACACCTAACAGTGCTTCAAATAAATAAATAAATGGAAAGACATAATGTGTTCACAGGTGAGAAGACTCACCATGGTAAAGGTCAAGTCTTTCTAAACACAATTATAGATTTAACGCAGTATGAATAAAAATCCCAGGAGGATGTTTTTTTGTAGATACAGACAAGCTGATGCTACAATTTACATGGAAGGGTAAAGGACCTAGACTAGCTAAAACAATTTTGGAAAAGAATGAAGTCAGAAGAATCACACTACCTGATTTTAAGATTTACTATAAAGCTATAATAATCAAGACAGTGTGGTACTGATGAAGAAACAGGCACATAAATCAAGAGACTATAACAGAGAATCCAGAAATACTGTCACAAAAATATGGCTATTTGATTTTTGAAAAAGGTACAAAAGAATTTCAATGGAGAAAGCAACTCACCATGACCAAAGTTGGGAAGACTATGGTGAAAAAGAATCCAAGACTACATACAAATGGCCGGCTTCAGAGAAACAGGAATTGGTGGGTGTGGCTGGATATGAATTCTGATACATACTGATGCAACATAGTGTATTTATTCAGGACAAAGTTTCTAAACTAATAGGTCAAACTAATAAGGAAGACTTCTGTTTCAGATGAACCTGATAAAAACTGTCTGTGTGTCAAAATTAACTTCTGGGAAAAGTAAAAAAATCAAACAGTAATTAATGCTTCAGTTTAATCCAAAGCTAGGTCTAAATGCTATTAAACAGAAACATATCAAATCTTTGATAAAAAATGTGCACAAAGAGCAAAAGAGCAATAGATGATTTCAAAGTATTTAGTAATTATTATTTTTATTATTATTCAAATAACCTAAGAAATTAACTTTCTTTGAAGAGACTGGCAATTTAGCTTCACCATAGTTAGGCTGTTTACAACACAGCTATTACAAAGCACAGCTTTCCAAGTCCTTGCTTTACACATCAATTAGAAAACCCAGAAAGAGAGAAAGAAAGGGTGATAAAAAATAAAAACCCTGAAAATTTGTAGTGAGAGGCAATACAAGGAACAGAATTAAAAATAATTCTTACAGGCTATGTATCTTAATGTATATAGCAGGATGTATACACCCAAGTTTGTACTTAAATTCCAAAGCACCTATGACCCAACCATGCAACTGAATAGCTAAACAATACCAAGGATTCATATCTCTACCTATGTGTTCTTCCCCTGTTTCATCTGTCTTACCTTCTCAAATCCCTGCCCCATGAGATAATTGCTCCCTTTTTTGTACCACTGGTAAGAAGGAAATACTGGGAACATTTTCAATGGGGAAATTGTACATACTCATCTTGAGTAGAAAAACTAACATATTTGTTTCCTATTCATACAGTATAGAGAGCAAGCAGCAACCCTGTTGCTATGAAATGGTGTCATCCCTATTAAAAGTATGAGTTATATTACTCTTGTAAAGCATTCTCACAATTGATTTTTATGTGATCCCACTCTCAAATATTCTATTACCCCAATCAAAATAAGCCTAATTTTTTCAACTACTGCAAATAAAAGTGTTTAAATATACCACAGCATACCACTGCTACTAGAAAATGGCTAAAGAAAAGATTAAATTACTTATCATCAACTTACCTCATGTAAATTCAATTCTTTTACTTTCTCTTTTAATATAACCTGTAAGACAAAAGAGTATGTTCTTAAGCTCATTTAAATCTGTAATTTATTTTTTATTTTTTAATAATATTCTTGGAGTATATAAATCTGTAATTTTAAATATTTCTCATTATACTCACAAATATTTTTCTTTTGTATATACAGCTCATTTCCCTCATATTCAATATTGGAGAGAATTTCTTTTACAGTTTAAGACAGATCATTATAGCAACATTTTTTTAACTTGAGCAATGATGCAATATTCTCCTAAAAAGCAATTTTGGTTGAGCACGGTGGCTCACACCTGTAATCCCAGCACTTTGGGAGGCTAAGGTAGGCAAAACACTTGAGGTCAGGAGTTCGAGACCAACCTGGCCAACATGGTAAAACCCTGTCTCTACTAAAAATACAAAAATTAGCAAGGTGGGGTGGCACCTGCCTGTAATCCCAGTTACTCAGCAGGCTGAGGAAGGAAAATCTCCTGAACCTGGAAGGCAGAGGCTGCAGTGAGCTGAGACTGCTCTACTGCACTCCAGCCTGGGTGAAAGAGTGAGACTTTGTCTCGGAAAAAAAAGAAAGTAATTAAAAAAATCTCTTTGAAGTATGAACTCTGCGAAGGTTCATGCACAGGTTTTAGCACTCGAATTGATCAAGCAGAAGAAAGGATATCAGAGGTCAAAGACCAACTTAATGAAATGAAACCAGAAGACAAAATTAGAGAAGAAAAAGTAAAAAGGAATGAACAAAGTCTCCAAGAAATATGGGACTATGTGAAAAGACCTAATTTACCTCAATGTCACGAAGAGAATGAATCCAAGCTGGAAAATATTCTTCAGGATATTATTCAGGAAAACTTTTCTAACTTAGTAAGGCAGGACAATACTCAACTCCAGGTAATACAGAGAACACCACAAAAATATTCCTCAAGTAGAGCAACCCCAAGACACATAATTGTTAGATTCACCAGGGTTGAAATAAAGGAGAAAATTCTAAGGGCAGATAGAAAGAAAGGTCAGGTTACCCATAAAGGGACACCTATCAGACTTAGAGCAGATCTCTCAGCAGAAACCCTACAAACTAGAAGAGAGTGGGGGTCAATATTCAATATCCTCAAAGAAAAGAATTTTCAACCCAGAATCTCATATCCAGCCAAACTAAGCTTCATAAATGAAGGAAAAATAAAATTTTCACGAACAAGCAAGCACTCAGAGATTGCATCACCACCAGGCCTGCTTTACAAGAGCTTCTGAAAGAAGCATTACATACAGAAAGGAACAACCAGTATCAGTCATCCCAAAAACTTACCAAAAGGTAAAGAGTATCTCCATAATGAAGAATCTATATCAACCAATGGTGCAAAATAGCCAGCTAGCATTAAATGACAATATTAAACTCACAAATATCAATATTAATCCTAAATTTAAATGGATTAAATGCCCCAATCAAAGACACGGACACAAAAAGTCAAAACACATTGGCACTCTGTATCCAGATCCATCTCATAAGCAAGGACACACAAAGACTCAAAACAAAAGGTTGGAGGAAGACTCACCAATCAAATGGAGAGGAAAAAAAAAAACAACAGGAGTTGTAACTTTTGTCTCTGACAAAATAGATTTTAATAATAATAAAGACCAAAAAAACAAAGAAGGACATTACATAATGATAAAAGGATCAATGCAACAATAGGAGTCAATGATCATAAATATATATATGCACCCAATATAGGAGCACCCAGATACATAAGACAAGTTTTCAATGACTTATAAAGAGACTTGGACTACCGCACAATAATAGCGGGAGACTTTGACACCACATTGTTAATATTTGACAGATCAGTGAGATAGAAAATTAACAGGGAACTTTATGATTTGAACTCAGACCTGGAACAAGTAAACTCAGTGAATATTTATAGAATTCTTCACCCCAGGTCCACAGAACATACATTTTTTTCAGTATCACATTACACCTATTTTGAAAGTGACCATATAAATGGAAGCAAATCACTCTTGGGCATTTGCACAGCATTTCACAGATTTAAATGAAATATTGGCTGGCTGTTTGTTTGTTATTTTCTTTCCTTATTCCTTCCTGTCTCCGTTGTTAAGCACAATTATTGGCATAAAAGAGGTTTTTAATACCTATTTTTAGACTGCATTCCAGCCTGGGCAATAGAGCAAGACTCCTGTTCTCTCTTCCCCTTTTCTCTTTCTCTTTCTTTCATAAAAAAAAAAAAACTCTTTGAAGGCTGGGTGCAGTGGCTCACGCCTGTAATCCCAGCACTTTGAGAGGCCAAGGCAGGCAGGTCACCTGAGGTCAGGAGTTTGAGACCAGCCTGACCAGCATGGAGAAACCCTGTCTCTACTAAAAGTACAAAAAATAGCCAGGCGTGGTGGCACATGCCTGTAATCCCAGCTACTTGGGAGGCTGAGGCAGGAGAATGGCTTGAATATGGGAGGCAGAGGTTTCAGTAAGCTGTGACTGCGCCATTACTTGCCAGCCTGGGCAACAAAAGAAAAATTCTGTCTCAAAAAAACAAACAAAAAAACTCTTCGAAAATAGATTAAATTTTGAGAAAAGAGATTAACAACACATGCCCATCTGGACTAAGTGCTAATATGAGGGGAAAATAAATGAGGCCGATTGCCTCACGATTCAGTAAAACACAGCATTGACTGATGGGACTAACTAGTAATTTATGAAAGATTAAAAAGTAAATTGGGCGGGCGTGGTAATCCCTGAATTTTGGGAAGCCCAGGTGGGTGGTTTGCCTAAGGTCAGGAGTTTGAGACCAGCCTGGCCAACATAGTGAAATCATGTTTCTACTAAAAATACATAAATTAGCTGGGCGTGGTGGTGCCTGCCTGTAATCCCAGCTACTCAGCAGGCTGAGGCAGGAGAATTGCTTGAACCCAGGAGGCCGAGGTTGCAGTGAGCAGAGATCACGCCATTACACTCCAGCCTGGGAACAAGAGCAAAACTCCATCGCAAAAAAAAAAGTAAGTCAATCTTAAATTTGAAAGTTTTGACTCCGTGGTGACCAGACAGTAGTTAAAATGAATGCCAAGTGATAAGAAGGAAGTTCACTATTTAAGAAGAAACTATGACACTAAACATAGCTTATTAGAGTTACATTTCATCTTAAAAGGAAAAAAATAGGCAAGTAAAATTTAATTTTGGGTGTCTTACATTCCCGAACTAAAAATGGATTTGAGGGCAAATCATGTTTTCAGAAATCACAACCAGAAGCTAGTATCTGGCCTCACAGGGATATACTAAATTTCTTATCCAATATATTTTAAAGATCAAATTTACTGTACATCTTATGACTTGATTAATTTTATCAGTCAATTTCACTTATTAAGTGACTACAAAAGCCAATTTTACTTTCTAGTTAGCCTACATACAAATATCTTGTAGGTTGTCAAGATTATAACAGGTGGCCAGGTGCGGTGGCTAATGCCTGTAATCCCAGCACTTTGGGAGGCTGAGGCGGGCAGATTGGCTAAGCCCAGGAATTTAAGACCTGTCTGGGCAACACAGTGAAACCCTGTATCTATAAAAAATACAAAAATTAGCCAGGTGTGGTGGTGCATGCCTATAATCCCTGCTACTTGGGAGGCTCACCTGAGCCGAGGAGGCAGAGGTTGCAGTGAGCTGAGATCGCACCACTGCACTCCAGCCTGTGTGACAGAAGTGAGACCCTGTCTCCAAACCAAATCAAACCAAAAAACAAAACAAAAGATTATGATAGGAGCCTCAGCAACATGGCGAGACCCATCTCTACAAAAAATACAAAAATTAGCTGGGTGTGGTGGCATGTGCCTGTAGCCCCAGCTATGTGTGCCACCACACCCAGCTAAGTGGGGAGGATTGCCTGAGCCCAAGGAGGCCAAGACTGCAGTGAGCTGTGATTGTGCCACTGCACTCCAGCCTGAGTGACAGAGACCCGGTCTCAAAGAAAAAAAAAAAACAACAAAAAAAGATTATGATAGGACTGAAACAAAAAGATTCATTCATTTAGAAAACTAAAATACTCAACACTGATTACGGATCCCACATGAGACCTACAGGGAAGAGTGTGGGGTTACCTAAGGACATCAGTATGTACATCTAGGTAATGTGTCAATGAACTCAGATTTCAAAGATACATAGATGAAAGAAGAACAGAAAGATATGCAGTCCTGAAGTGGTAACATTGTCCTGTAACATCAGTGTAGCAAGGTTAAAGACTCAAATAAGCTGAAGCTCCCCACTACCCAACAAGAAAGCTAAGGGTAACAAAAATTAAGAATTTAATGCTTAGGCCCAAAGGAAAATCTAGGCCCCTTGTTTGGTGTCAGTGGTAAAATATTAATGGAAGAAAAAAATAATTGTACTTGGCTTTCAAGAAAAGATAAGCACATTAACTTAAAAACAAAATCAGTGAAGGACTAGGTATTAACAGTTATGATCCAAGTTTGCAGACTTCTATTGGATAATATAAGCTAACATTTAAAGTACAAAAGGGAGTAGAAGAGATCACTGTAACACGGCTGGTTACCTCCGAGGAACTGCTGTATCTTCTAATATAGAAGGAAGGAAAAATTTCACTTAATGGTATCTCTGAACTCCATTGAGTTGACAGTAACTTTAAGAATTACAAGCTATAGCATTTCACTTTAGCAAACTGTTGACTTAAGTTTCTTGTTAAATTATATGATTATATTATCTGAACTTTCTATAGTTTCAAGTAATGCGTATAAAAGAAGAGAAGAATACTTAAGAAAATGAAGTTGATATGTTACACTGCAAATTGGCAGTGAGATGCTAAAATGAACACAGGTAAATTCAGTCCCAGTTTAAAGTATGAGTGGAAATCAGAGTTCTCAGTTTTTTTGGGGAAAAAAATAATCAAAGCCAATCTGAATTAAATTTCTCACCTGTTTGTAGGCATAAAATTCTTTGTGTGCTTGATGTCTTAGCCTAAAAGACAGAAATTAGTAATGCAATATTGAGATTTCCAACACAGTAACTTGAAAAAAATAAAAAGCTGCTGATTTTTGGTATTAATTTATATCATTTATGACTCAAGTGATATAAATTAGATTCTTTACCCTGATATACACCCAAATGACATATCTATCATCATGTTATGTGAAAGTGCCCAGTGAACCATGAAATGTTACCCAAATGGAAGTTCTAATGAAATCTGATTGAAGCAAAAATCTCAATACCACAAATATTCTAATGAAGATGAGTCAATTCTTTTTATACTAACAGTTTACTTATTTCAATATTTATTTTTTCTTAATTAGAAAAAACAAGTATAACATATATCCAATGAAGTATAAAAACCTTAAGTATACATCTCAAAATTAAAAAAAAATGTACATACCAGGGTAATTATTGCTCATATCAAAATATAGTACATTTCCAGCACACCTGAGCCCTCTAAAATGACCCTTCTTAATTAATATCCATGCCCCAGAGGTAGCACTATCCTGATTCCTAACACTGTAGATTATGCCTGTTTTTGAACTTAAACGGATCATTTGGTATATGCTCTTTTGTGTTTGGTTTCTTTCAGTCTATAATGCCTTGTGAGATTCTTCTATATTGTTATAGTAATTGTCTTTCTGACATACAGTACTCCATTGTATGAATATAATAGCATTTATCCATTTTATTGATGAATATTTACTTCCTGTTTGAGGCTATTATTAATAAAGCTGCTACATAAATTCTACAGTCTTTTAGTAGACATATATACTCATTTCTGTTGAGTATATGCCTGGGAATAGAACTGCTGGTTCAAAGTACTCACACCAAGGTGGGCGCTGTGGCTCACACCTGTAATCCTAACACTTGGGAAGCCCAAGGCAGGTGGACTGCCTGAGGTCAGGAGTTTGAGACCAGCCTGGCCACCATGGCAAAACCCTGACTCCACTAAAAATACAAAAACTAGCCAGGTGTAGTGGCACATGCCTGTAATCCCAGCTACTCGGGAGGTTGAGGCAGGAGAATTGCTTGAACCCAGGAGGTGGAGGTGGCAGTGAGCTGAGATCACTGCCACTGCACTCCAGCCTGGGTGACAGAGCGAGACTCTGTCTTAAAAAAACAACAACAACAAAAAAAAAACCAACAGCCTGGGCGCGGTGGCGCACACCTGTAATCCCAGCACTTTGGGAGGCTGAGGTGGGTGGATAACGAGGTCAAGAGATTGAGACCATTCTGGCCAAGGTGGTGAAACCCTGTCTCTATTAAAAATACAAAAAATTAGCTGGTGTGGTGGCAAGCGCCTGTAATCCTAGCTACTCAGGAGGCTGAGGCAGGAGAATTGCCTGAACTTGGAAGGTGGAGGTTGCAGTGAGCCGAGATTGTGTCCTGCACACCAGAGTGAGACCGTCTCAAAAAAAAACAACAACAACAACAAAAAAACAAAGTACTCATATCGGCTGAGTACAGTGGTTCATACCTGTTACCCCTGCACTTTGGGAGACTCAGGCAGGAGGATCGCTTGAGCCCAGGAGTTTGAGACCGGCCTGGGCAACATGATGAAACTTCATTTCTACAAAAACTACAATTAGCTGGGCATGGTGGCATGCAGCCTGTGGTCTCAGCTACCCAGGAGGCTGAGGTGGGAGGATCACTTGAGCCTGGGAGGTCAAGGCTGCAGTGAGCCAGGATGGTGCAACTGCACTCCAGCATGTGTGACAGAGTTCGACCCTGTCTCAAAAGAAAAGGAAAAAAAAAGTACTCATACCAATTTCTACTCCTATGGGTAGTTCATAAGAATTATAGGTGTTTGCATCTTTGTAGGTTAAGCTTGAAAAATTTTTAAATTTAAATGAAGTCTAACTTATCAACTTTTTCCAATTAGGTTATTTTTGTGTCCCATTAAAGAAATCTTTGCCTATCCCAAGACTATGAAGATATTCTCCTGAATATGCTGTGAAAACAATTCATTTTACCTATCAAATGTAGGTTTATGATCCATCTGAAATTGGTCTTTACATGTGCTGTGAGGTAGGGGTCCAGAGGCTTTTTTTTTTAAATTGCATTTTAGGTTTTGGGGTACATGTGAAGAACATGCAAGATAATTGCATAGGTACACATGTGGCAGTGTGATTTTCTGCATTCCTCCCCTTCACCTATATCTGGCATTTCTCCCCCATGCTCTCTCTCCAGATGCTATTTATCCTCATATAGATTTTCATTTGACTCACCATCATTTATTGAAAAGATTCTCCCCTTTCCCCACTGCATTGCAGTGGCACATCTGTTGTAAATCAGGTGTATTGATTATGTGGGCAGACATTATTAGAGCTGTTATTACTCTGCTCTATTGGTCTATTTGCCTATCCTTGTATACCAACTGGGTTGAATGGGTCCCCTTCAGCTCCCAATTCATGTCAAACTGGAACCACAGAATATAACCTTATTTAAAAATAGGACTTTTTAGGCTGGGCATGGTGGCTCATGCCTGTAATCCCAGCACTTTGGGAGGCAGAGGCGGGTGGATCATGAGTTCAAGAGATCGAGACCATCCTGGTCAACATGGTGAAACCCCGTCTCTACTAAAAATACAAAAAATTAGCTGGACATGGTGGCGCGTGCCTATAATCCCAGCTACTCAGGAGGCTGAGGCAGGAGAATTGCCTGAACCCAGGAGGCGGAGGTTGCAGTGAGCCGAGATCGCACCATTGCACTCCAGCCTGGGTAACAAGAGCGAAAGTCCGTCTCAAAAAAAAAAAAAAAAAAAAAAAAAAAAGAAAGAAAATAGGTTTTTTTTCAGATTATTAGTTTGTTAAGATTAGGTCATAATGGCTTAAGGTGAACCCTAAATCCAATTTGACTGCTATCCTTAGGAGAGGAGGAGAGGATACGCAGAGACAGATGGGGAAAAAGGCCAGGTGAAGACAGAGACAGAAACTGAAGTGATGCAGCTACAAGCCAAGGAATGCCAAGGCTTGCTGGTATGCACTGGAAGCTAGGAAGAGGCTTCTGCCCTAGAGCCTTCAGAGGAAGCATGGTTCTGCTAGCACTTTAATTTTGAACTTTTCTAGTCTTCACAATTGTGAAAGATTACATTTCTCATTTTAAGTTGCCCAATTTGTGGCACTGTGTTATAGCAATGCTACGCAACCAATATACCTTGTGTCAATATTACTCTATTTTAAAAACTTTTGAAAGAATTTTAGACAGAAAAGTTGCAAAAAGTAGAATTCACATATACCTTTCTACCAGCTTTCACATTTATAAAACCATAGTACAACTATCAAAACCATGAAATTAACAGATATACTTTAACATTGATATATTATTAACTAAACTACAGACCTTATTTGAATTTTACCAGTTTTTTTTCTCTCATGTCCTTTTCCTGTCCTATGATCCCATCCAGGATCCCATCTTACATCTAGTTATGTCTCCTTAGCCACCTCTAATTTGTTGAGAGTTCCTTAGTTTTTCCGTGTCTTTGAGATTTTGACGTATTAAGTATGACCACTTTTTCTTGGTGTAAATTGGAGATTTCACTTTAAGATTGGTTAAGATAGTGTCCATTGGGTGTCTCTACTGTGAAGTTACTAATTCGTTTGTAACTGACAAACATTTTGAGGGAGAGATGCTGAAATTATACACATATTCTCTACTTTTCCTTAAGCTTTTGTCTACCGATTTTAGCATCCACCTTGCCTGCAACAATTACTGTAGTGTTTGCCTAATGGTAGTTTTGTGGTTCTCTAATTCCTTGCACATTTATTAACTGGAATTCTTCTATAAGGAAGAGATGTGTTCCCTCATTTACTTGTGCAATTATTATTTCTGAGTCTAGATTCATGGATGTTTGTTTTAACCTGCAGGTTATAGTTCAATATGATCACTGTGCTAACCTACCCTGTGTTAGCCAGACAGACTCCATTTTGCTGAGAGTCAGACTCCATCTTAACTTCTGCCTCACCCCTCCCACCATTTCTCCTTTGAGTGCATATCTGGGTCATGCTCCTGTGCTGGGTCATGTTGTACTTAGAGCTATAGAAATATATAACTGTTGTAACCATATCCTGCTTGACAAGCCCACTTGCTATTGTGAATACCCCTTGATTGATTGTATGGAAAGTACCGAATGCCCCTCCTTGGTAACCAGCAATCATGGGAACCACTTGTGTATACCCTCCACAGTTAATCAACAATCATGGGAGCCTCCTGCCTCCTAGTTACCAGCCTCCTCCCCTAACCTGCTCATTCTGCTTCTGTAAAATTCCACTTCAGCTAGGCTCCCCCTTCGCTACCTAAATCAAGGTATGAAAAGAAATCAAGCCCCTTCCTTGGGGCTGAGAGATTTTGAGCGTGAGCAGACTCTCGGTCACCGGCAATAAAGGACTCACAATCAGATTTCAGAGTGCGGCGCTTTCCATTCAGCTTGCTTGGATATAACAACTATTTCTTTGTTGCTCAAAATGACTAGCCTTGAGTCCTTCACCGGTTGACTCTTGTGTCCTTTCAACAAGCCCCCATCCTCTCCCATGCATTTCCTTATATACTGGCACCAAAAGATGTTTGTTTCAGACTCATTTTATATGATCTGTGCTCCAGACCTGGGGTTAGCTACTTCTTCCAAGGAACAGTGATACTGAAGAACAGTATTTAGAACTTGAGATCTGGGTGTTTGGTGAACAGCACTTTCTTTTAATAATGTTGCTTTACAACAGGTGTTAGGGTCTGGTAGTAAAAATCCTCAAGTTTTATTCTTTTTAACAACTGGCTTGGTTATTCATGGTTCTCTGTATTTCCATAAAGATTTCAATTTCCACCAAAAAAAAACAAAACAAAAATAACAAAAAAAGCCCTCTTAGGGTTTTGAGTGAGAATATATGAAACTTACAGATCAATTGAGGAAGAACTGACATCTTTGCTAGATTGAGTTTCTAATCTATGAACATTATTTATTTACAGCTTTCTCTCTTACACACTTCTAGACA